TGTCAAAAATCAGCCTTATACAGATATACGTTTGTGATCGGGCTTGGAACAACAGAAGTTCTCGGTTTGAAGGTCCCGTACAGAGTGGTGGCAGTTCGCTGCTTGGAAAGCTTTCCTTCTCATGTTTTCTCATCGTGCTTAATGACACTGTGCTGAATTAACCTCTCAGCAGAGCTCACCGAAGGTGTTGCAGGTTGGGACCTCCATTTGCTCCTCGAAGGGGCCTAGTTCTCGAGCAGCGTCACGGTGCGGGCAATGAGCGTGATGCCCTGGAGCTGCCAAGGTTGTTTTTCCTTGTCAGCACAGCGGAGTTAAGGATCTCTGTCAGGGAAGAGAGTCCCTGTGGATAACTGGGTTACTAGGATACAGAGTAGGCTCTGCTTTAACTGGGCAGTTACGCTTGTATTTAGGCTTTATCATCTCTCTAATTCCAGAGGGTTTCATTTTTTTTTTTTTAAGTGGCATTGCAGTTTAAAAAGAACAAGTCACTGTGCTTTAAAGATCTGTTTTTGCTGAAAGCATCTGCATGCAATAGATGCAAAATATTTCTCCCCTGGTATGTGTTACTGCTAGAAAGGAAAGACTAATAGAAATTTAATTGGTGCTTTCAAAAGCTTCCGGTGTCTACGTTTTGGAGGCAGCTGCAGTGTTGAATGTAACGAGAATTTGGTTAGTCATTTGGTTGGAAAACAAAGCAAACTAACACAAGGTCTTTAGAGATGAGAAGTCAAGTTGCACGACGGACAACTGCAGTCTGTTCCAGTGGAAAAAAAGAGAAATAAGGAAAAAGAATATTTTCTTTCTCTTTTCAAAAGTATGACCTAGTTATCACRATGAGCAAATTGGAGCGTTTTTCTTATGATTAATGTTTTTGAAGGCAGTTGAAGTTTGTGTGTCGTTTCCCACGGCACATGGCTTCCCGCGTGCGGGTGTCCGGCGCAGCGCAGTGCCCAGGGAGGCGGGAGCGCTCCCAGCAGGAGCGGGGCCGGCGCCTGGGCTCGGAGCGCGCGGGRCAGCCACAGCCAGGAGCTCCCTCCCGCCCTCACAGCCCGTGCGCATGAGCTGCAGCCGCAGGAGGCTTCAGGGCTCCGCATCTTCCCTGGCTTCCTTCCTCCAAGCTGTTCCCAGAGGCTCTGGGTTGTCATTGCTAGCTGTTTTTCTCACCTCTGGCTTCAGGTTTATTTGCTCAGAGAAGCTCTAGAGAGTGTCAGCTCAAGGCATCCTGAGGCTGTAAAAGCTTTACGAGCTTCCTTGGGGAGGATTTCTTACATTTGGATTCAGAGGATTTCTGTAGCTGTGAAAAATGACACGCACGGGTTGTGCTGCCGGCCCGCTTGTTTTAACAGGCAGGGGGTTTTCATGCGGTTTGGGGGTGGCTCTCACTCTGTGGCTGTGTCCATGGAGTTTGTGTTGGGAGGTGTTTCCCTCTCGGCTCGGTCCGTGGGCTCTCCTTGCCATGTTGGTCTGTGGGTGATTTGTGTTTTACGAAAAGTGTCACTTGGATTGCAAGGTTCTCCTCTCTTTCCCACAAAGCAAAACATGCAACTAGATAAAGAAAAATCCTTTTTTTTTGGTTTGTTTGTTTTTTTAATTTAATGTACCAATTACTGTAAGCTAGTGCAGGCTCCTGGTCTGCCCCAGTAGAGGATATGTTTAGAGGATTCCTGGACCAGGATTCTGATCACTTCCATTGCAGGTTTCCTGGTGAGATACTCCATCAAGTGGTTAGTCGAAATTGGGATCCCAAACTGCCTGTAAATCTTTCAACTGATGGTTACCAAAAAAAAAGTGTGAAAAAGGAAGTTTTCTTTAATGTTAGATAAGAAAACTTAAATGTTTTGATTTAATAACTGCTGTTATAGGTTTGTTGGCGTCATTTAGGAGCCGGTAACGCAGTGAGTTTTCAAATGCCATACTCACCAAGAAGTATCACGATCTATTTTTTGACTTAGAAAGACAAGTCCTCAATTTTATAAAAGGGGATGAGACTTTGCCTCCTAGTAACCCTCTTTTCCTTGCACAGACTTCATCAACTCTGGCGGCCCGCAAGCAAGGGTGTATCTTTGTCGCTGGCACTTGCAGCACAAGGTGCATCCCTGCCCCTCGTGCGAGGATCGCAAAGTGTGTTCGTTTGCTGGGCAGGAGGGGAGGCTTTTTGTACCCAGGCACCTGCACAGCAGCTGAGCCCCATCTGCTTGCACGGGGGGACAGAGTGATTTCCAGATGTTGCTCTTCCTTGGCTGTGCACAGAAACCTGAGCTGCACAGAAGTATGTCCCTGCTTTATGTCCTTCCCTTTGACGCTATTGTTTTTCTCTTAACCTTAGTACAACTTTTTTTTTCTGTTTGTTATGAATTTTTACTTCCAACCTCTTGGAAGAAAAAAAGTACTGAGATTTGGCACGAATTCTCCACTGTCTCTTTTCACTGTTTTTCAAACGGTCTAAACAAATTTAATTCATTAGTTGAAGTTCATGAGCACATGAGTTAAATGAAGAGAGATAACATCAATCTCTTAATATAAGAAAATGAAAGCCTTTTGAGAAAGGGCTTTTAGGAGTCCACCGAATTTTTGCCTTGCATGGCCTGAATGTCTTCTCCTGGAGATGCTGGGCACATGTGCATCATGCAAAGGGGGAGCAGGATCTTCCAAAAGCTGGGAGAGCTGTATGGGAAGGGCTGTGGCCCTTCCTGATTCACATGCGTCTCCACTGGGGTTCTGGTTGTGGCGCCCAGCCGGGCTTCTGTAARTGTGGATTTGGCCCTTGAGGAGGCCCTTGTGCCCAGTGTGTGCACAGTGATTTGTGCTGAGACTTGTACTTGTTGTCATGGGTGGCAGGAGCCAGGAGAGTTCATCACCCCAAGCCGTGAGCGCGTTCTCTGCGCTGTCACTCCCGCTGCAGCGTCCCGCCTCCATTGTCTAAAGGGGAGCGTGGTGCTGCTGCCATCTGTGGCTCTCTCAGCCACGGTTTGTCCTTCCCTCCCCTTTGCTGGAGCCTGGGCCCACGGTTCTGCAWCCAAAGCTACCAAGTCCTTTTCATAATGTTATCAGCGCATGGAGTTTGGCTTCTCTTATTGTCCTGCTGTCACCGTTGCCTCGCGCATCAGCAGCATGGCCAGCGGGCGCCCGAGCAGTTGCCCAACGGCAGCAGCTGTGCAAGCAAACAAATCAGGATTGACACTAATCAACAGACGTGTGTGGCCGTGGCGTTAAAATGCCCCGGACCACGTGGGAGCCGCCTGCTGCTTTGTGTCAYAGCACCACCGGATCGCATGGGTGAGGATGAGCTTGTGGAGCGGCCGGCTTGGCCTCCCCCAGCCCGCCTTGCTGCTCCCGCGGGGATGTGCTCATGGAGCGACCCGCTCGGCCTCCCCCAGCTCTCCTTGGCCTCCCCCAGCCTGCCCTGGCCTCCGCCAGTGCGCGTTGCCGCTCCGTGCCCTCAGGATGCTGCCTCTCTGCTCCCTGCCGTGTCTGCTGCTGGTCCCACCGGCCCCGCGGAGCGGCGCGTGCCGTGCACGTGAGCGGGGCTCAGGCC